GCTTCCTTCCCAGATAGGCAAGCTCAAGGGTTTGTTTCATTGTTGTTGTAATTATTGTTGTTTGTTTGTTTGTTTCTAATACTTTCCCTTTGGTTCACCTATGGTTGTTCCACAGGTTTCTGGAAATTTACTGAGGAAAACTCTTGCAGCAGCATCAATGACAATCAGCCTTACGAATGGCATCTTCTGTTTAAGTGCCCTTCAGGACAGAACAAAACACTGAGTCCTGTCTCACTAGCATGCTCCGAGATCTGTTATCTCTGAAAATACCGGTCTCAAGCGCGGGCTGGAAAGTGAGTAATGCTCTCTGAGGCCGTTCTTAAGTTTATGGCAGTCTTTGCCATAACATTACAGAATGCTGTACGCCTCCCTATAGGTAGCAAGAAGTTAAAATCCCACTAATGCTATTGGATTCTTTGTGAAGGAGCAATTTTTCAATTACGCATAATTAATAGTAATTACCTTTTATCTTCAGAGACCAGAACAAAGAATAATTAATCCATCTTAACATCCCCGTTAAGGGGGTATTAAATATGGGGTTTTTACAGAGCAGATTACGTAGTAACTTATGTGGCCTACTGTTCAGTCTGGGTTCCCTAATGCAGAAAGGAAAGAGAAAAGAGAATCCTGAACTATCTGAACTAATATTCTAGTTTTTGCCTTAATTTAATTAACTAGTTTGGAAACAGCTGCTTGCTTCTTGCAGCAGCTTGCTGCAAATGAAAAGTGTGCTGCCTACAGATCTCTCATATATAGAAGCAGTTTTACTATATTTGATAATTAACAACATTCGAGTGGACGTTTTACTAATTTTTAACATGTATCTGTGAGTAAAGTATTTGCAATTATTCCCATGGCAGAGCTGGAGAAAATGCAGCTCGGAAGTTTAGGGCCAGCTTCTCACTTGGCACAAAGCCTTTTTGCACTGCTCTTCTCTCACGCTGGTTTTTGCTGCACAGAAAGAGAAGACGCCTGATTCTGTGTTCGTTCTAGACAGCACGTGCCAAACTCAGAGACGCTCATGCCCTTTATCAGATCTTAAACTTTGGCTTCAATCTTCCAAAGTGGCTTCCAATTTTCGATATCTTAATGGAAGCTCACCTTACAACACTTGGGATGTCTCTCAGAGCACACAGTCACTGTTAATCTGAGCTGAAATTTCCTGGGTTTGACTTTTTAAAAAAAAAAAAATAATAATCAAGGAAACGTGAATTTACTATTTTGATCTTAAGTGAGTAGTCCAAGATCACACTGCAAGCCACCGAAAGAGGCAGAAACAGAATTTGCTTCAAACACATGGTTTTGCAAGACAAATATTCCATGTGGCAGGACGACAGCAAAGATGAGGGCAGCGCTGCAGGGAGCACACGTGGCAGCTCCGACAGACAGACCAGCAGGCTCTGGCCCATGACAGCCTGGGTGCCCAGAAAGCTTATGATTAGTGGTTACATGTTAAGGTGATAAAAAAGGATAGCTTCTATTCCTACATGTACTGATCTGAGGGATCCTGAGCTCAAAAGGGGGGAGTAGAGAGAGAGAGAAAATGGGGGAGTAAAAAGAAAGGGACAGAAGGGAGGAGGAGAACGTCCCAAATGTTACATGAAAGCATCGGCATGAAAGGCTCCAGGCCAACGTGCTCAGAGAATGCACTCTTCTGTCTCAGTGACCTTGTGAAGATAAACTGAACAAAAAGCTTCAGGCAACATCAGACAGAGGATTTAAGAAGCAGTTTTAATTTTAGCCAGATCGTTTTGTATTTCTGACTGTGGGGTTATCTGGGGATGCAATGTGCATACAGTGGAACAAAACGTAGTTGTCACCCCCAACTCTGATACTGCACCCAATGGCAAATTCAGTTCCATGCTTCCAGGGGGAAGCAAAAATCACGGTTTTGGCTACACAGGGAAGATCAAATTGTGGTATCACAAGGATGGAGTACCAGTGCATCCTAATTTTACTCCAGAATGTGATTACTTGGCTACCTTATGCATGAGCAACATACAAGACCTATACTCTGACACAATACGCTGGTTCCCTCTACGCACATTATGTCCTTGCTCTGTATCTCCAGCCTGACGGCGATTTACTATGAACAAATTCTTTAATCCTCCTGTACCTCAGTTCCCTCATCTATAAAATGGAAACATCCTACCTAAAAAGAGTGCAAGGATTCACTAACTGATAGATGTTTTTTCAGTGAACACATTTGCTGGTAATTTTAATTATAGCAAATACATACAAACTCTAAGAGCTGGGTGCATACAATAAAACATATGCATTAATCACGATGTCTATTGCAGCCTATTAGCACAATTAATTCTATACAATATAAATGCAATCTAACCCACAATCTGGAGATTATGAATGCCATATATATCCAAACTGAGGGTCTAGATCTTCAAGCCTGTAATAAATGTCAAATCATGAACTAAAATGGTAATAAAACCAACCCAGACTGATTGGGAATAACCCCTCCACATGCACGCTGCCACACGTAACAAACACGAGCTGGGAAGGCAAGACCTCAGTATTCCTCCTGCACCTCCCTGGCATCACCACCTTATTGGATAATCATTGATGAACACGTACGCTGATAAAGAATCTTCTATCCAAAGCTCTCAAACTGCTTTACAAATTGTCTCTAATGTGTATAGACAGCGCATGTTATTTCCCCCTGTCCTCGTATAGTCTGTCCTCCATAATTTCTATTTGATAAGCTATCTCCCAGTCTGCAGGAGAGACATCCATCCTCTCTCCTGGCAGGTCTCTTGACACACTCTTCAATTTAAATAGCGTTTTCTGATTTTTTTTCTCTCTCGGATCTCTTCTTAGGAGACAGTTCTTTCCCACCTTGACTGTATAACTCACCATCACTTGCGACAGTTTCTTGAATCACTGACACTGGAATCAATACAGCAAAGCTGGCAAAGGATGGGAGTGAGGAGGTGGGAAAACAAATGTGAAGATGTTGTAACCTTTTAGTCCTGTGCTGTCAGCTCAGCACACCGCGACGCCTGACTGGACTCAGACGGCTTGTACTAACACGGGCAGTGACTGTGCAGGGAGCTGCGGCGGCTCAGGGCAGCTCTATGCATCCTCCAAACCAACAACAGGGAACTAAAGGCAACATCCTACATGAAACGAAGCAGGACAGGGCTCTCTCACAACACTGCTCTCTCTTTGCACCGCGTCTCTGCTAATCAGCCTTCCGGACCGAAAACAGAAGCCTTCGCTATACATGAGGCCCAGCCTGTAGCACGCACAGTGCACATGTCCTATTGGATTACAGGGCAGAGTGCACTCACATGGTCTGCTTGTCAGGGACCCAGCCCTGCCTCTGCAAAGAGAGGGAAACGAGAGAGGGCATGAACGAAAGCAACCCGAGCAGCCCCGGACAACCCCAGCCCAGTCAGAAGGCAGGATGGGGCATGCCACCAGAAAGACAGGGGCAGCAGGCAAACAGACCTCAGCAGGCACGCTGGAAGGCTAAGCCGGCACCTCACTCCACAAAGAAAACACATGGGAATATTCATGGACTTTGATATTGTTAAAAAATGTGAGAATAGCTTATCACCTAGGAGCTCATTGTATTGACAAGTGGAACAGATGACAGCTAGATCCCAGTTTGGATACTAAAACACAAAGCAATACGGCGAAGATCAATGCAGTGCAGTCTCCCTCACCGAGAAAATGCTTCTGTCTGCGTCAGCTTCAGCAACCAACAAACTTCCCCCGGTCCCGCTAGTCACGGCGCAACAGAAAAGGTCTCTTGGCAAGCCCATACTGGACCTTGTGCTTTTTTTCTCCTCAGGCAACTCATATTCCGCAGTTCTCAGGAAAACACGACTCAAAAACGTGATGACAGGTGAAGGAGAGAAGAGTTCACAGAGAAAGGGAGAGAGCAGCAGAACAGGCATCTCTTTCAGAGAGCAGAAGTTTATCACCCAGGACAGGATTTCCACTGGGTTTATCATTGTTCTCTTTGTCTAGAGTTAAGGTCATTAAAGAAGATGTTTCCACTCTGAATGAGCAATGAGTTCCCACTTAATTTATAGTGCCTCAGCGCTCCCGTGTGATTTGGCTCCAGGGACCTCGGTGCAAGCGCTTCTCCCGTGGATTACGTGCCGCCCTAACCGGCTCCTTCTCCCACCTCGCGTTCAGGTGCCCACCTCCCATCTTCTCCCTTCCCCTCTCCCCAGTTTCTTCTGGTGCTCGATCCAGAGCCCTCCCTGCTTCCTCAGATCGTCTGTCAGAGGTCACAGCTTTGAGAACCACTACAGAAATAACGATAAGTAGCTCTGTTCTGCGATTTTCTCATCTGTTATCATTTGTTCAACAGCTAGCATGTATCCCAAAACACCTCATACCCAGAGCCTGAGGAGCTACAAATACTGGCGTACAGTTTTGTGAGGCAGCGAAGGCAGAGAGCCCTTCCAGGAGCGCAGGGGTGGCACCGGACACTCTGCCAGAGCCCCCAGCCCCGGGGGGCAGATGGCGGCCCCGCCGCCTGCCACAGCCAGAGCAGCCCCCGCAGCACCGGGCCTGTCCTCACCTTCCTCCCCCGGACCTTCCCGCGGCTCCGGTCAGACGAAGCGGGGGTGTGAGCGCGGGACGTCCCGTCTCCATCATTTGGACTTTTTGGCCCTGGACAGAGCGGGCTTAGCCGAGGCGGGCTGAAGCGACGCGGCGAAAGGGGCTGAAGCGGAGGCAGGGGAGCGGGGGGGCCCGCCGCCCCCT